ATTTCACATACTTCCACATGATTCACATGGTTTACTTTCACCACCTTGTGGTCGTTGTGGAAGTAGACATTGATGAGCTTTATTACTATAAGAATAATAACAATTTTACAAAAAACAATTAATTCAAAAATTTTCACTACGTACTAATTTGGTATGAAAACTTGTTTAAGTTTATTTTCTTGTTCAGCTAATTTCAAACGTCTTTGAACAACATAACGATCTGTTGTTTTCCACATATAATAATATTCAATAATACCTTTTAAACTTTTCCATGGTAACTAAAAATATTTCAATAAAAATATTATATCATTTAAAAATAGAATGCAATTTTTACATATTCTTTTTGTATTTCATGAAAATCTTTTCCACATTTTTCAATAGCATCTTCGAATGAATTAGCTTCAGCAGCTGACCAATCTTCCATTTGATCTTTAACAAGTATAGGACCTGTATTCGGTACTAAACTGCATGTAGCTAAAGCTAAATCATAATGATGTTTATGTAATGTATCCATTGCAAAAAACTAAGAAATAATATTTTAATGAATTAAAAAAATAATATAATATTTAATTTACTAATGTTGCATCACGTGATGCTGATGCAGCACTCATATGAAGACTTGGATGTTTTAATGCTGTTGGACAATCAAGTGCACGAGCAAATGTACCAATGGATCTACAAGATTTTCAAAATTATCGTAATAAAACTATTGATAGGTTTTATTCTAACTAGAATCTATTAGAAGAGTTAAAAAAAAGTACCTTGCAACGATTAAATATTGTTCAATTTGTTTTTCTGTTAGTCCACCATTTGCATCCCAGATTAGATCTTCTCTTGATGGTGAATTATCTTTAAAAGAGAAAATGATTTATTTTGTTGCCATTGATTATTTTTCATACCTTCAGTTCCATCATTAGATACCGGTTGAGCTGGTACATCAGCTTGATATTTTCCACCAACACGAATTTCACCTCGATCAGCATTTAAAGTTTTTTGATTTGGATCATAAACCAATTGATAAAAAAAAAGATCCTACAAAATAAAAAAGAAATCCATAATTTAATTGAATGTTTTCTTTTTATTACAAAATTTTAACCTCAGAACTAAGATATGATACAAATGTTTCAGTTTCATTATGTAATGTAACTAAACATTTTCCACGTATATTTGTTGCTAGTAATGTTTCATTCTGACGTGTTAAAAATAATTCACGATGGCGTAATTGATGTTTTTGTGTATCACTTAATTCTGTTGATTGTCCAGTTGTGCTTGTTGATGCAGTATCATTTGCTATTTCATCATCATCTTCCCATGGAGCTTAATAAAATAGAAAGAATATAGAGGAAAATAAGAAAAAATTTTAATGAATTATACCATCAATTTTAAGACGATCAACTTGATTGACTAGATACGAAGATATATCACGGCGACGATAAAAACAAGCAACACGTGCTTCAACATTACCATTTGGAGTCTAGATAGAATTAAGAAAGATTTGTACTGTCAAATAATGAAAGTTCAAGACAATATTTGTTAATTAAGAGTTCTTAGATCTACTTCTCCTTTCTTCAGACTTCTACACTAAATTCCGTCAAAAAATGATGATACATACTTTGTTTAATTCTTCGATTCGTCGAATTAGATATGGTTCTGTAGGATTGCCTTCAAAGTAGACGTAATCTAAACAATCAATCAACGAATAGTAAAGTAAAACGATATGAATTACTATTTAACTTACCGCCTACACGATACATGCACGAAGCCATTAAATATATTCAATAAAAATTAATTCATTAAGAAAAATCGTCCATTATTCTAAAAATAAAACGAAAACTTAGTCTTCTCATTGCAGATAAATTCTAATATTCAGGCAATTTTTCTCGTAGAAATACTGCAGGTTTAGACAAAAATAAATAATTCTAATTTATAGAAGAATCTAGGCTGAATCAGGCGTTTAACTCTAATGTCATTGTATTGTTTGACTAAAAAATTTGATCTGTTCATGTTGTTTAAATTAAATATTGCTACAAAAAATGGAGATATAATGCACTTTGATATCTTTAGATAAATCATTTGAAGCGATATTTTTGCCTCATAAAAACCATAATGTTATTTACTATAATGAAACAACGAAAAAAATAAACAAAAGAGAAGATATATGGATTGAATTGACCGATTGTCAATAACAAAACGTAGCGACATTAAAGATATGTGTTGAACTCTATCGAAGTTAACTATGTAAAAGTATCATCATTTAAATGAAAAATAATTGAAGAAATTAAAATAAAAAATTAATAATACAATGAAAAAGATGAATTTCAAAGAAAAAAATAATTTTATCGTATAGTAACGCCATCTAGTGAGAATTCTACTTCTACCTGTTGCTGTTGACTAACACACAAGTTGATATTATTCAAGAATGAAATCTTTATAAATAGTGAAACACAACGAAATTTTCAGCATGCTTTTTGTCTATGATCATCGTTATACCACATTAGAGGCGAAAAAATAATAGAAATAGCGGTAGAAACAGGTTCTAATAAGTATCGAAAACGCATAATGATACATATCTATGCTGCATTGTATTTGTGTCACATTTGTAAATTTATTAGAATGTGCAGCCGATATAATGACAATGATCTTCTATCTCTTATTTCTAGTTTTTGTCTATTTTCTTTCTTTCTTTTTCTCTTCACATCTCTCTCTCCCAGCCATATCCTTTCCTTGTATATATATTTTTTTATTTCTTAAAATAACACATGCGGACAAAAGTTCAGCGAGCGTCGATTTCCTTCCTCGTTGAATCATATCAACACTATATAAGATGGATTGTTTGAGACAGAAGTTTATTTACATATCTAGATCGATAGAGACAATAGTAAAGATGATGTCATTATACAAGTAATATAGTTTCACTATGTGCTCAAAAGTTATTTTTGTCTATCGAGATTGGTATAAGAAACTAATGAAGATGATAATATAGAAGTAATGCAATCTTATTATGTATTCCAAATTGTTTATTTATATCTATAGATTCTTTTGACGAGAATTCAAATGATAGATAACCAATTATTGGACAATATGATAGAATAAAGTTTTTGTTTTCTTTAGATTGACAGTTTCGCGGTGTTCTCGGGTTCATTTGGATCTATATACATAAAATTGCAAAGCGTTACACATTTGTATTATAGGAGAAATTTATCCGTATGTGGGCAAGAATGCGTCATGAATCTGATACACACCCACACCCTTAATCAAGAAACGTTGTTTAAAATAATTTAAAGTTCACCATATCACTCATCAAGACGATGTGTAACGTTTTGTAGTTACAAAGTGTTTCGTCTTTGTTGAATTACGAAAAAGAAATATTTGATTCGATATATATAAGAAATTCAAATATATCGGATAATCTAAAATGAAATGAACATAATCATGTCTCTTTGTTGTTAAAAATAACTAAATATGAACTATCTGTAATATTTGACGAATAGAGACATCTATTGTTAGTAAGTTATCTATTCTTCACGTATTCGTCCGTCAATCCAACAAGTACCAAATAACAATATTTTCAATCAATTTAAGTGCCTGCCACATATTCCTTCCTTAATAACCGTCAGATTTTCAACTTCGGTTACGTTGGTCTAGCATTCGACTAATATATCTTCACATTATTCCAGTGAAATAACTCTGCTTTTAAAGCACAAAAAGTATGGTTGATAATGAAAAACGAGAAAATCTAGCAAATGCTCGTCGAAAAGTTTGTGTTCAATCTTCGCTAGTCTTTTTCAATCAATAACTTTATATGTTTTTAGTTAAAAAAGTTTCGCGATCAGCATCTACCAAATGGCAGTGATGATCATTCCACCAATGGAGTAAATTTTTAAATTACTTTTTCTGTCATTTATCTTTTTGGTTTCTAGACATCCATTGAATCTCCTATTGATTATAATACTATGTTAGTTTACTTTTGCTTCTAAATATTCGAATAATATTTTCGTAATTTAGAGCACAAAATGTAACTGCCTTTGGTAATGAACAGCAAACTGCACTTAATGGAGTATCGACATCACCTATTATTAATTTAGAAGTAAGTTGTAGAGCTGAGAAGAGAAGGTTTCTAAATGTCAGCTGAAAATGCACAAGTATGCTACACTGAGTATCTTGATTTGAAGTATGAAACATTTATCAGCTAAGGTTGATATAATAGAAAGTTATAGTCAAAACATTCTTTTACTACATGATACATACATCCAGCTACAAAATATGTAATATTGTGTGACATCGTCTTATATACATATTTTACCTATTCTCTTTCAGTTCTGTTGACATGCATTTATACGTAGTTAGTACTTTTGAGAATGTACATTATGTCTATTTTTCTCTCGATAAAGATTTTACTCTTTGTCGAGGGGTAGTGACTGTTCTTTTATTTCTTGCAGTTATTATAATCATTTTTCACTTACGATCATAAATAGTGAAACTAATATGTTTTTAATTGCATTAAATGGATTTATCTATTATAAACATACAGTGATGCCATTATACATCAAAAGATATATATAGTTGGATTTATCATCAAGTCATAAAAAAAGTGTTTTGATTACAACGTTTTATTTAATCAGTCTTAATCGATAATTATTTCATATTTGAAATTATAGTACTTAGTGTAATAAACTCACGCATTCTCAGCTAAAATACTAAATCAACACTTGGAAACCTTCCCTTGTTAGATAGATTAATATAATGTCCATATTTAAGGAACAAAATCGTCAACATAATTTATCAATTGAAAAGCAAAAACAACAACGGCAATCAAGTGGTGGAAGTAATGTGGTAAATATTTTCTTCTTGGAAAATTCTTCATCATATAGCTAAATTTTCTTTAGTCCGGTCGTTCAAGTCAAATTCCAGGCAATATTGAAGAAAAACTACGTCGTGATGCTGAGAATTTACAAGAACAACTTGAAGTAAATATTTTTTGACTATTTGCTTTTGAAATGAAAGATTTTTATAGGTTCATGTGCAAACAATTGGAGTTTTAGTAGCAGAAAAAACTGATGTATCAGCTAAATTATCTCAATCATTTAAACAACTTGAACGTAAACAAGGTGAAATGGATGAATTATATGGACGTTTAAAAGCATCACGTGAGCGTGTACAAGAATTAGAAAAACAAATGCAAAATTCAACATCAGATGTACAAAAAAGAGAAATGGTTTGAAAATAAAAAACCCCATATATTTTGTTTCTTAGAATAATCTTTTTTTTATTTTAGGCAGTAAAAGATTTTGACAAAGAAAATGATCGATTAAAAATAGAAAATATTCGACATAGGTTAACTATTTTTTATATATTAATATACCAGAACAAAAAATTTAAATTAATAATTATTTTAGCCAATTAATTGAAGATTTAAAACAAAATATCAATGAACTTAATGAAAAATTACAGAATCGTCAAAATACGATTGATCAATTAAATATTGAACTTGAACAATTCAAAAAACAACCTCAAGTTTGTTAATAATTTTCAAAAAATAAAAATTCATTCTATTCTTTTTTATTATAATCAGGCAATCAATGATACATCAATGACGGAACAACAAATAACTGAACTACAACAAACGATTACATTTAAAAATAATCAGATAGAAGAAGTATGACAAAAATTTCAATTTATATCTGCTAACTTGATGTTTACTTATATATGTAGTAGCGCTGAGTTCGGACTTAGTTCCTACTACAGTGTGGTGCAAAAAACACTCATCCCTTTATGAAATTGAGTTTCTACACTTTTAGTACACAAGTTTCCAACTAACACCTACTGTAGTTGGTAGAGTCGTGAAAATTCTATAAAAGACCAAGAAGTTTTATTTCGAAAACATTTCACCCGAGAGGAAGACAGAGAATAAACTTATTAATTTTGTATTTTCTATACATAAGAAAGAGTTTTCGGACAACTCCTCTAACAGTGACTTCTTACCGGAAACCAGCAAAACTAAAGAGTGTGCCGATTCTTCTCATGAAGAAGTAACATGATAACTTTCACTTTTATGGTTTTGCACTCAGTAGTTCTAACGCACTTCTGTGACTAAAAAATTCAATACCATGACTACGGGAGATATGTTATTTTTCTATAAAATCCACATAAATTCTTAAGAAGGCAGTACGAAAACTCTCTTTTGTATATCTTTTGGTGCGTCTTCACCTTGTCTTTCCAGTAGAGAAAACTGCATCTCCCTACGTTAGAAAATTATTTACATGGAATAAATGCTCTTATTTTCAAATAGTTTCTTTCATCTATCAGTCGAATGCGTACTGATAATGATCAATATCAACAATATAATACAAATATGCAACATCATATTCAAGAACTCAATGATCAAGTAAAATATTTTTAATTTTAACCTGATAGGTTCATTTTGTTTTCGTACAATTTAGATTAATCAATTAACTCAAACAAATAATCTTCTAAAAAATAAACAAGATGAAAAGAATTTATCTGATCATAGCTTAGTACTTGAACATGATAATCTTCAACAAGAAAATCAATTATTTCGAAATGCTATTGATCAATGGTCAAATCGATATGAAGAATTAAGATTAAAATTAGAACAAATGACAAAGTATTCATTCTATTAAATCAAATTCGAAATGTGTTCTATTCATTTTCTATCTAGGACGCTAACTGAAAAAGATGAACATATTATTCAGTTGGAAACAAAGATTAATAATTCAAAAGCTATCGAAGATAAAAATCCATTAATTGAAACTAAAAAAGAATTCGATTCCGATGAAATTTCAAACTTAAAAAATCAAATTCAAACTATTGAAAATTTAAATAAACAATTAAATGAACGTCTTGAACAATTTCAATTAAAATCAAATCATGAACAACCAACTCAAACGGATGAACAACAAACCGGTTCAATATTACCATTAAGTTCAAATGATCAGAAACAATCCGAACAACACCTTATTGTAATTATTCTTTAACTTAACTTATCATATATCAATGAAAAACGTACCCTAAGGAACCTGTATAAACTTTCGAATAGTAACAAAACAAAATTTTAAATGCGTATTCATAGACTAACGGATGCTCTATAATAAACGAGTCAAAATGTTTCTCTCTTTCCAATAAACTACAGATTTGACTTTAAGGCAAGGAAAAAACAGCTGATTATTTGATTAACAGTGATTAGTATTTCTTGTTAATGATGGGTGGGTGTGGATTAGGGATCTGCGAAGTCAACTTTTTTTGACTCGGACTCCGCTCTGATTCCGAGAATTTTTCTTTTTTTGTCTCCGATCCCGACTTCGAAAAACTTCGAAGTTTTGTTAACAAAAAGCGACTTCTAGAGTCAACTTTTTTGACCTTGAAACTCGACTCCGACTCCGACGGAGTTATAATCGGGTTTCGGAGTGCTCCGCAGCTCCCTAGTGTGGATATGAGTATTCTTTTTATTCACACACTCACCCACCCTGGTATTTAAAACAAAATCCAACTAGATGTTAGCTATAAGATTAAAATACTTTTACGTCTGTAACTATTGAAGAAAAGTGATTGTGTTTTGTAGAGAATGCCATTCATGCATTTAAACATACAATCTATTTCTTTTCAATAATTTATAGTATCTTGACAAACAAAAATATTAATTAGAAATCAACTTGATTTCTTTTGAAATAGAAAAGTCCCATTAATGAATAACAAAAGAAAAAAATCTATGATTGATGACAGTTTTAGTAAAAGTATATCACTTATGACATTGTTTTTGTATACGATGTTATAAAATAAGCTAAATATAGATGATACTTATCAATTTTGAAAGAAATCAAATTGAATTTCCTTGATGTGAATAAAGATTTCTTTTTTATAATAGAAAATATGTCAACAATAATAAACTTTTTCAACTTTGATTAAAAGAAATCCATAAGGTTTTTTATAAAGAATATAATTTACGTTTTTTTTATCAAAGGAACGTTTCAATGAAGTAATGCGTGAAAATATTGATCTAAAAGATCGAATACAAAATCTTGATCATGTTATTCTTCAATTACAAAGTGAAACTGAAACAATCGGTAAAAAAATAATGTTTTTTTCTTCGATAATTTTTATTTTCTTTTAAAATAGGTGATTATATTATTTTATATCAACAACAACGTGAACAACTTCAAAAACGTTATCAAGAAAAAGATGATTATATTAAACAATTAACACAAGATCGATTTGATTTACAAGTATAAGTCTAAATACTTTTTTTTGTCACGTCTTCGCCATAATTCTCTTTATATTTAGAAAAAACTATCAGAATTAGAAATCTTACTTGTTCATGGTCTAAATATACCTATTCCAAATAGTATTAAATCACAAGAATCTCATACAGAAGTACCTAGCAAACATGATGAAACAAATTCATCGGATCAATTACAATTACAACCTAAGAAAAATGGTAAGAAATAGAAACTTGTCAGAAGTTTTTCAGTTTGAATAATAAGAAAGATATATCTTACGTATTTATTCATCTAACTAAAGGAAAATAAACATACTCTACGATGGCAATATTTGTCTTTGTAAGAATGATGACATTTATTTCGTAAATGATACTGTTATTTTCTTTTTTATTAATGATGGAATTAAGCAGAGACTTTCTTAAAATAGATCATATCTACTATTATATATTGTTATGAAAATCTCAGTTCCAAATAATTGAATTTTTGCATAAATAAAATACTTGAATTATGTTCTTCGATTATATAGAATCGGATAAGCAGCATTGACTTCGGACCATAACAAAATCATTGAAAATAATTCAATCTATCATTGTATTTTATTCTTGTAGTATCGGCTAGATAATAATAGAAATAAATTCTAATACTAGAAAATGATTTATTTAGTTATCAATATCTTCTGATTAAACGGAATATATATATATATAGCGTATTTTATAGTCTAAATCAATTTAACCTATAATTATATTTATTTTCTAATGGTGAACAGTTTTTTTTATTAATTCTGTAGTAAATAGAAGTTAAACTTAACTATATAATCATTGTTAGCATTATTTATATGTGCATGTGGCTAATACAAATAAAAGGAAAAAAAGCTATATAATATTTATCGAGTAACTAACAATTTCAAATAGAAAGAATTTAAACTATTGATATCATTGTGACATATTTGTCAAATCTTCACCAGCATGCAACGAAAATATCTATTCGGCATTCTTAAAAAGATATTTATTAATTTATATCCAGAATATTCTTTAAAGCAAATAATTACTAAGTTTGCTTTTTTGAATAAATTTACTATATATTTTTAGAACAATTGGGAACTATTGATCAAGTCATATCATTGAATACCGATAAAATTCCTAGTTCGATATCATTACCTCAATTAAGTGATGAAACAAAAGCTCGTATATTGGCATTAATTACTGAATTAGCACAAAATAATATTTCATCAAATGATAATTTATCAACAGTAAAACGAGCATTTGTCGATAAAGATTTTTATCTATGTTCAACATGTTCAGGTTCTGTGCAGTGGGTTTAATTTTTATTTATTATTGTTGCTTGTTTTTTTTCTAAAAAATATTGAACCTATTTATAATTTCTCTCTCTTATCTTATTTTATTATATCATCATAGGGAAAAAAAGAGAGAGGAATTCTTCGTATTTATTGATTTTATTTTTTTGATTCGTTTTTAAACGATGGTTATTGTTCTTTTTTTTTCTGTTATTAAATTTACATATAATCTAAACATAAAAAAAAACGCCAATGTAAATAAATGATGACCGATTTTGTTGATAAATATTGAAATTAAATTTCATTTATTTTTTAAGTTTAATAAATAATGGCACCAATTATGGAAAATAATATGATATTATTTTATTTGTGAAATTGAAGGTAAAATATATTCTAATTTTCATATATGAGATGTTATCCATGACTAAAATGTCATGTTGAATTAGTAGACAATGATATTCAGCCATGCGATATATGCAAATTAGAATTCTGTATAAATCATATACGAGTTTTTCTTTCGAATAGAAAATTTCAATAGAGCGACATTAAATTCCTATATATACTTTATTCGATTAATTTTACAATATATGAGATGAAAAAAAAATAGAATTTATAAAAATAACTTATGGAATATATGAACTTTTTCTAGGTTATTGTCATATATTATTTATCACGTAAAATGGCACATGTCAATAGAAACAGACAACTTATTGATGAAGAAAATTTGTAATTAAAACAAATTAATTATAATGGTAAGATCATATTTCAACTTATATCACATTATTTCCACTGAATAATTAGCAAAGAAAAAAAAGGTGACATAACACATATTAACAAAACAAAAAACCGGATAATGAAACATACTGAGAAAAACAGAAATAAATAATTTGAATTAGCATCATTAATATTGTTTATCCGAAAAAAAAGTATCTAAAAAGAAATAGAAAGAATTTATAAAAAAAATATTTATTTTCAGTCAATTACCCCATTGTTTTATCAAATGAAAAAGCAAAATCATCAGAAAGCCATTGATATATATATAACAAACGAATACATCGTTTTTTATTTATTCAAATAATTTCTAATTGTTATTATATTAAGATGGATTTTTTCGTTAATGAATCCTATTGTAGAAAACAAAAAAATGTTAATACTAATATAATTAACTTAGTCATCTCAACTTACATTTTCTATTTCTGAAACAAATGTTGAATTTGATGTTGCTGTAATCAGAGATTGAGCAGTTATTTTAACATCTGATAGAGTTGTTATTGTTGGTGGTGTACCATAGCCAGACCAAAAAAATCCATAAAATGTGGTAAGAGCAATAGCTAATAATGATATGGATAATAAATAACTGAAGACAAGTAATAAACGTAAGATTTTTTTTCGCATTAAATTTGAAGGTTCTTGTCCTAACGGAAGGATTGGTGGTTGAGTATCAATACTTGGTGGTGGAGCATTTTTTGCAATATTCATCCAGAGACTCTGCCTTCGCGTCGCTAATGCTGTTGTTTGTAAACTTTTTCGACTAGGAAATATATTACCAAGACTAATTACTGATGAACTTCGTTTTTGATTCATCGGTGTAGGTTTTATTATACCACCAGGAGATGATGGTACTGATTGATTTGTTACTAAACTTGTTCGCATTGCTGAAAATGGCATACGACCAAAAGCTAATGCTTCATCATTTGCTGTTTTAGAAAATCTTTTCATTGGAGGTAGTCCCATTTTTTGATTCCGATTATTTAATGCTTGAATACTTCGTGTTTGAAATGAAGACGCCATATTAATAAAAATATCTTAAATGAAATCTTTTTATAAGTATGTATAATAGAAAATAAATGTATGTTTTTTCTATTAAAACACTCGTTCTATTCACGCAGAAAATGACATATCATCGTATTTATAGTACTTACCTAAACAGAAAAAAATATATATAAGGAAATCGACTGTAAAAAAAAAGAGACTGTTAGATACTAAGTGACTTCTTGCCGAGAAAAGATAGTAATTCGATTTCATTACTATCAGAAAAGGACATAATAGATCCGTTATGCTTGTTGTTATACAATGATGATAAGATAAGAAGAAAAAAAGAAGAAGAAGAAGAAGAAGAATGCTCTAAGACAAGATTGGAATTTTGATCGGAAAACAAAAATGAGACAGCGAGCGAGAAATAGTGCAGAAAGAAGAAGACGAAGACGAAGACGAGAAATATCTTCTTCGCGTAATCGAGAAAAAAATATGAGACTCAATCTGCATAGACACAACACATATTGTCAAGTGTGCCAATTATCTCCTACACATACAACGATGATTGTTGACATTCTCCTGGTGCTTCTATTGAACTACGCTTTTGTATATGTATATATTGCTATATATATGTGGCATTCTAATGATGTGTGGCATAACAAAAACTATCGTTCTTATTTCTAATAACAAACGGATTACCAGCGTTGTTTCTTGTCGTCATCATCATTCGTATGCGCCTTATGTTTAACATGCACATCACCAAATGTTTCTTAACAAAACTTGTTTTTCTATCTGTATATATATATACACCTTGAGAATGAAAAGACAATAGTATATTTCCTAGGGAGAACTTTATGATCTTATAGATGAAAGAAGAAATCTTATATAGCGATACATTGTGTCTTGAAAAGACTAACAAGATTAAATCCTGAAAGTAGAGCTATAAATAGTTGCCCTGTCATAGAGTATTATCCTTACCTTTATTCATTAATGAATAGGAATAGACGTAGCTTTTGATAAAAATTGATGAGAAGTACGAGTTAATAAAGCACCTTACATGATATTTTGCATGTATTTCGTCTTTTATTTCTTTTCTTTTTCAAAACATTATCAAGAGGTGACAATTGTAAAATATAAAAGAAAAAATGCCAGAAAGATGATGAGATGTTGGCATATGAAGTAACCTTTTTTTTGCATCTCTCTCTCTCTCTCCTTCTTTTCTCCTTTTTTTTACGTATCTTTTCTTCAATTAGACAAAAAAAAAAGAAAGAAATGCATAGATATTTCTTTGGTTTCTTTTCATCTCTCTTATTGATGAGATAGAACTGGTGAATGTCATATTTTTTTTGATATTGTCATTACAACTATTGATTTGATTGATAAATCATAATTGCTTAATGATGTAGAAAGTATTTAGCATAGAAAAAATTACGTGTTCAGTTTTTTGGTTAATTTGATCGAATTATATTTTTTTCGTGACATTGAAGATGTTAATAGAAAAATCATCATCATAATCGATATACAATATGATTAAGTATAATGACAAGTGATATTATTATCACACTAAATAGGAATAAAGGACAAATGAATAATCTATTTTATTCTTTAATGCGTAGTTTTATAAATTGAAGAAGTCAATTTCTATATCTATATAAAAAAAAAGAAAATAATTAATATTTTAATAAAAATAAAGTAAAAGAAATTGATAAAAATTGATAGATCGTTTTTATTATTTAAAAAATGAATTTAAATATATATCTATATATGTATATGTATATATATACATATAATGAAGATATATGTATATCTTTATCTATGACTTGATAAATGTTAAATGTCAAATGACAATAAAATGAATGTATCATATCATATGTGTTGACGAACACGTTTAGTTAAGAAAGTCTTTTTTCAGATTCTTCTTGAATCTGATTGTTTTTATATGATTTGTTTTTGTTTATTCCCGGAAGAAGTTTTGCCATCGTTAGATGTCAATTTGACAAAAGCAACATTTATATAATGGTTTTGTATAAGATATTCTATCAAAAAACACCAGGAGCTATGCGCTAACAGAAGAATATATGCTCTCCTGCTTTGAGAAATTTGATAGTTGCTTACTATAATTTTGTAAGCAAAGAAAAGATATTGTATAAGTTTTGGCCTTATTTTTATTCTTTTTTTATCATTCTTATAGCTAAAGATAAACAGATATTGGCCATATGTTTTCGAAGAATAGCATCTAACCTATCATTTCTAAAGTATTATATTCAATTTATATTAATTACACAAAAGTGCAGTATTAATGAAAATGTTGACGAAACTTCTATAGCGTTATCTTCGATATAACTAACCTTTCCGAATTGATTTAAAAACTCTTCAAAAGTACAATGAAAAGTCTATAGGATTAACAGTATTACACTTGAAAAATAATCATTTCTCTCTAACTATATAAACTATTACTTTTGTAATAAAACAATTTTTATACTATACTGAATTTTCTAGAGAACTTCCTAAAGTAGCTTTCGAGAATGATTGCATTCAGAAGTCTCAGAAACTAAAACAATCATTTTTATAGACAAAAATGTTTATTAACGCAACACTTTCCTAGACTGGATACAAATTGAATAGAATTTTCCATGTATGTATTCTATTTCATAGTTTTCTTGCTTCATTTTGAAAAAGTGTACAATAGAAATTCTCCGCTTGATTCGAATAGCATCAAACCTAACAATAGGATCGTAACAAAGAAAATTATATGCATACTTACGATATATCCTGCTGATTTTTTTCTATTTAAGACGAATTCAATATTCGTAATAATCCAAACAGCTGAAGAAAAAAACGAGATGTTGTTTTGTTATATATTGATCAAAGAAGAATGCATGCTACTTCGATTTAGTTGATTGTACTCGATAAGTACTAGAATATTTTATTCAGCTAGTTACTATAAGTTTGCTAGTACTTTAGACTATATTTACAGAAGATCTACTAGGAAAATAAATCAAAGAAATATATTTTGGAAAAAGAGTTGAGAACAATTCGTTCTATTTGAGATAGTTTTATAGATTGAAGTATTATACAAATTTACTTAGATATGCTGTTAGTTCTTTCAACTTCAAACACATCATTTTTAAGTATTGATGAAGTATAAGCATGTTAGTTTGTTATCAACTGAATATAAGATTTCAGAAGTTATGACGTCTTGTTTTTCTTCAGGACATCGATATAGATGATGAAGAAATATAAAACTATTAAGAATTGAATCCTTTCAAATAACCTTCGGTTTATTTTATTATATTGATAAATCAAGGACGAATGATGTCTTATAGTGTACACTAAATAATAAACAAAAAACGAAGATGAATCCTCTTAATTCTCATTGTACATTGTTATAAAAACAAGTATTATAAAATTTGGTTTATTACTTAAGGCAAAAAATTGTGTATTGTATTTTCTTGTTATGTAAACAAAACATACTACTAAAAATAAACACAAGGATTTCTATTATATTTATTACCTGTATTGAAAAGATTGTTCTTTCTCTTTTCTCCTATATAGTTAAGTATTTTGTTAATTTAATAAATATTTCTTAGGAGTAATATACATGTTTATGAATTATTCTATAAACAATAAGTTAATTGAAAGCAAGTGAACAGAATTCATCAATCAACTTTTGTTATTATTGTCAATTTTGATCTACGAATACATTTGCAATGAAATGATGAATTGACTTTTTCTTTAGTATAATCATAACCTTCAAAGACTCCCAAGGGTTATATATTCTATCGTATTCGCATCTCTTTTTACTATATCTTTAAAAATAATTTCTTTAATTATTCTTAGCAAAAAAACAATAAAATCATGAATCTGTTCGATACTAATACAATAAATATAAATAAAAGTATTCTTGGTTACATTCTAATAACCTTCATGAACACTATTTTGTTAATTATTATTCATAAAACGTTTTACTACATCCTTTGAGAGTAATACTCAAGAGAAAGATAATAACTTCGAAAAATATAGTTTTTTTCTTTATTCAATCGTTTTAAAAATTTTATTCAAAATTGAATTTATGTATTATAGTAATTGTTTTTAATAATCTTTAGAAAAAATCTGAATACATAGAAATCAAGATCTAAGTTTATTGGTAATTATCTATAGTTCTATGATTAAAATATATTTATTCGTAATGTAAATCTATAAAAATGAAGACATAGAAGGCTGATTCAACAATATTTTACATTGATATAAACCATTTAAGCAAGAAAAAAATCGTTTATGTAGGTCTTCTTGTATAGTATTTTAAAAGAATTTGTATCATAGGAAAAAACAATAATCAGCTTAGATTATTTATAAAAGAATATGAAATCAACACAAGTACTCTTATATATTCCGAATCTGATCGGTAGAATAATAGTTTTATATTTAATCATACATATTATTCACATAGGTTTTTTTCGTGTATGTCTTCCTATATTTGCTTGGTATTATTTTGATAAATCAATGAGTTTTTTTTCCATTATATCTTATTCAAGCTTTACTTGAGGGTTAGAATAAATTTTCTTCTTGTTATGGAAGTTTGATTATATTCTATAGCTGTTGATTGATGGTTGGATAGCACGTCGATTTAATCAAGTATCAAAATTTGGTGTTTAGTTTGTTATTGCTATTGATAATATTAGTCGAGGAATTTTATAATCAAGAATTTCATCTATTGCATGGATTACATTTGTTGCATTAAATAGTTATAGATCTGATTGGAAAGCAAAATTATCATCAAATAACGATATTATTGTTTGAAATATTATGAAAAATGGTAAATTGTTTTTTTTGAAAAGGTTTTTCAAAAACCCTTTGGATTCTTAACAATTGTTTTTGAAATCCATTGTCTTCCTATCGTCATCTATATTATAACGTATCTATTTTACTCGATTGGTTTAGATTTTTATTATGTATGCATATGACTTTATGCATCGTTGGACGTCTATTTTCATTGTATTACGAGGTGAGACATTTATGATGTATATATAACAAAAAAAAAACAGAAGAGAAATCGATAATATGTTTTTTCTTTTTCATTTCTTCTCTACGTACATTTAGGTATACGTCATTCGTCTTTTTTTTATAACTGAAGGTTTACTTAAGTGAGTTCATATTTATATTAAATAAAAGAAGTAGAAGTACATGTTTTTTTAGAGAGCAACAGGAGTTAAAAGAATATACTTATTTATCGAGTCGAAAGGAAAAGAATTAATTTTTTTAAAGTTATAAATATAAATATGTTTTGTCAAATAAGAAAAAAAAGAAGTAGAATAAAATAATGATCATATGGTTGTATATAATCAAGTAGACAGAGTAGAAATTTCACGTACATGTAAGAGAGGCAGATGAGAAAATAATTCATATGGCAGTATAAAAGATAAACTAAGAATTACATATGGCGTGTATTGCCAAAACTGATACCAGATTGTGATGCTCCTTTATTATAACCATACTGAGTGCTGACTACAGTATTGCCCTGACTGATTGTTTCTGGTGAGAATATTCGTTCATTTTTATCACTTTCTTTTGGACCTAAACCGCGCATACCTTGTTTTTGAGCCTTAAAAAAAAAGAATTATATATTTTTTACTAGAAAATAAGAATTACTTTTCGACCAAGTGCAAAAAGACAAAGTACAACTTGATGAAGATTCATTTTTTCATAGAGATCAACTGTTTGAAATGTTTCAGAATCCGATAATCCAAAAGCCCGAGCAGCTTGACCAAAACGCGCAATATTTTCCATTAATTTAAAACTATTTTCACCTATATTAATTTAAATTCTATACAAAAACTTCCAAAAATTCATTTTAATTCTTTACCACTATTGACTTTTGGAATAGAATTTGGTACAATAGTATTCATTAATCTAATAAAAACAGAGAAGAATTAAAAATGAAGTAAGAAAAAAAAAACGATAAATTATACTGGCAAAGTTTGCGTCCATCTCTTAATTGATTATAGACATTATCCATTTCTCCATTAGTATCAAATTGTTCACCAATTGTTTCACTCATCCATTGTAAAGCTTCATGAGCTTGTCCTACATCATATTTTGATTGAATCTATTAAGTAAAATAATTATGAAAAGTTCTTTTCAAATTACGATTTTTTGATGAGTACAACTAGGGATGGCACTTTATCTTTACTTTGGCAGGTAGAGTAAAGCAAAGTATTTTACTTTACTTTTTCAAAGTAAAATAAAGATAAAGTGCCACCCCTAAGTACA